TTTCGTTTACAAAAATTGACAGTTTCGTATAGAATATTGAAAAAATAATATACAGAAAATGTAAATTTTTGTAAACAAAATATTCAAAAATAAAAATTTGTGATAGCTGCGAGCTTTCGTGATATTCAATGGTGTGAAAAAATGGAATGAAAAATCCAGTTCCGTATTTGAAGAAAAAACAGTTGATGATGGTTTCATGGAATGAAAACGTCGTATTTCAAATTTGAAAACACAAACTCGTAGGGAAGAAAAAGTGGCCATGTTAAAGTGTCATTCATTTTGATTAATCTCTTCAGAAAACTAAAAAGGTTAGGAAATTTAAGTTTTTTCTTATATCCGAAAGTATTCCGTATTTTCCCAATGATTAGGCGCCACCCACCCTGTATAAAAAAGGTGAATTCAAAATTTTTCAATTGGGATAAGATAAAAAGCAGAAGCATAACAATAGTGTTTTATCCATTCTCGAAACGTTATACAGGGTTGTTACTTTCGATTGGAGCATCCTGTATATTTTGTCCCCATCTAACTTCGGATTACAAAGTGATATATTATCCGCACCCACTGAACATCAAGTGTCGCAATTTTATCATCATCATAAAATAACTTAGATGTTATTCGTTTTCGTTATTAAAAGGCACTGTAAGGTTTGTCATGGTTCATCTTTAGGAAATTATAATAAATGAAGCAATCCTGATGCGCGCTATTGGCGTTTTTTGCTCTGTGTAGTAAGTAGTACATTTATAATGTAGTATCTGATATTTGAATATATTTAGCTTGAATAATGTTTATTTTCATGAATAACTAAACAAAACATATGTACCTATCACGATTAAAAAATATAAGACATGAATAATACGTTCTTGTATTTTTTCTGTTCCTTATTCTCTCTTAGACTGAAGTCCATTCCATTCATTCCTCTTCTTGAATGTAGAAAATCCTTTGGACAAAAAGCACTAATAAGATTATTGAAATTTAATAATGACTAAATTTGGTACTGCTGGTTCTAAACGAAATCACCTTCTCATTACAGGGTGTTGGTGAATAAATGCGACAATTTTCGGGGGGTGATTCTTTGTGATGTTTCAGGGAATGAAGTTCATATTGGAAAGGAATATTCTCAGATAAATTATGATCATGAAAAAAAATTAATATATTTATATATGTATACACGGTCGCTGATATGTATATGGAAACAGGTGAATATCACGGTAACAGTTTGTTAGATTTTTCTGAATTTATGTGCATGGTGATTCCAGAACGTGGCGGATTTGAAAATGTTATCGCCAATGTTGCCAATTCTTCAGTTATTCCGGAATTATCATTAACTTCATTATTTTAAGCTGATTGTATATGTTGAAATCGAGATTTTCCAACTTAAGGATTTTTTTGTGTCGAAACTTTTCATTGGTCAGAACGGCTTTCATATCCTTATCTCAACTGTTGATTCACTATCTACTGACATTTAATTGAAACAAATACAGGGTGGTTCAAGATTCAGTATTCTGATCACCCTATCTATCTGTTCCAATTAAATGTCAGTAGATAGTAAATCAAATGTAAAGATAGGAATGAATAGTTTCGACACAAAAAAATTCTAAAGTTGAGACCGATAGACCCTAAGTGTGATAGATCGATGAAATCAGCTTTTCAGGAAGAATCTAAAAAGTCAATAGTACAAGGTGTTCTATTTAAAAAAGGGAGTTAATAAAAATTCCTGAATAACTGTAAACATTATTGATAACATTTTCGAATCCGCTACGTTTTGAATCAAACCTGTACCTAAGTTTCAAAAAATTTGACAAACGGTTACCGAGATATTCACCTGTTTCCATGCATATAAGCGACCCTGAATAAATAAATACATTGAGAATTCGCATTTTCTATGCGATGAAAATATCAATTCTTCCTCGGTTTATTCAACAGAAAACAAATACTTCCCTAGCTATATATGACACGACGAACATTGAATTATATCCATTGATCCTACTTTTTATGCCAAAGCCAGAATTCAGATAACAATGACTTTCGGTTCGGTTCGGTTCATGACGTCATCGAAGCCGACGTTTTTCGAAAGTGCCGAATTTCATTATGGAAAAAAATATATTTGCGATGTTTTTAAATAATGAATGATGGCAACAAATTTTATTCATACACGGACTGATCAAGGTATGTAGCGTAAATTCGAGTAGTGTGTACAACCCCATTCACAAAATGAACATATGAAGTATTAGTTTATGAAGGATTTAGTTTCAACAGTCAATTATTAATATTGATTACCTATTCATCATGAAACAATTCCAATTATTGGAATAATGATTGATAGTTTAGTTTGAACAATTACTTCCAACATACATTTCTGAAGATGTCCAGAACCTTATTCACAAAATGAACATATGAAGTATTAGTTTATGAAGGATTTAGTTTCAACAGTCAATTATTAATATTGATTACCTATTGATCATGGAACAATTCCAATTTATTGGAATAATGATTGATAGTTAAGTTTGAACAATTACTTCCAACATAAATTTCTGAAGATGTCCAGTGTTGCTGCTAATCAGAAACGTTATTAGATATTATTTCTTCAATAATAATAATAATAATGTTTATTGAAGTAATACCCAATATGTATAACAAATTCATCGCGAAATAATATATTATGGTCTTACTACTCCAAAAGGACAGAATATTGGCAAAGAATTGAAAAATGAATTCTACCTTTAAGAGTTGATTCCACAATGTTACTGAATATTTTAATTTGTCTGGAGGAATATTTTGTTAGAAATCTCAATTTTGTAAATTCACATTCACAGTTGTACAAAGAATGTTTGTTGTATTTAGTGTATAAAATTCGTATTTTCAAGGCACATTCGAGTGAATTTTCGGCCTCCATCCGGTGCCATTGAAAAAACACTCATTTTACGCACTTAATACAAAAATGACTATTTTCAATCATTATACTCAAACGTCTTTTTATCAATTTCAATGAAACTTGGTGGATTTGTTAATTGTAACATTAAAAGCTTCTTTTGGTGTAATTAGATTCGAAATAATATTTCCAGTAGAATCACAGTGTGTTAATTTATCGATATTTATGGTGAATATCATTGTAGGCCACTGGTTTTTCTTAGTCCATATAATTTCATTAGATTAAACAATAATAATTCTATTTGACCTCAAATTTTAATGTTGGTGTTCTCAAAAAAACATCCTTTGAGATTACTTATTAATAAACTTTATTTCCTCAAAATATAATAGGGTAAAAGTTTGTCGCCCTTGATAGATGGTCATAAAATGGTGGAATATCTCATTTACCAAACTGTATTAATTTGTTTTGCCTCCAAATGATTCCATGAGGATTGAGACAACCTCTGTCAACCAGGTCTAATTATTTCTGTAGATTTTTGGGATTTTTGATCTCCTCTTCCGTATACATAAAAATATAAGTTATTACTCATTTTGATATATATACCTACTACCTGTGGTGGGGACAATTCAAGTGAATTCTTGTTCAAATAATGTTTGAGGAGAAATGGTGCATTGAAAACATATAAAATTACATTCATCTTTGGACTTTTCGGGAACAAATCTGCTCCCGATTTCAACATAAGGAAGGGAAAATGTTTATGAGCTCGATCTCTTCGTTTTATCATTTTGACACCTCAAAACGAGTTGTTTCAATCCATAAAGGTCCTAACAAATTCATTTTTTTGTTGCAATAAAAAGAGTAGTAGTATATATGTTTACACAAGTTTTCAAAGTGTAATTTTCTATCTGTAGGTATCTTTTTTTTTTGAACATATTTTTTTCATTAATAAATAATACAGTGCGTTGAATGTTTGACGTGAGACGTGTCAAGGTAGTAATTTTTGAGACAAAAATTTTGAATAATTAATCGCAAAATTAAAACTTGATTTTTTCTGCAAAAAAAAACAAACGATTTGTCACTGGGTACGCCCCTGAGAATTTTGAATCAAATCTTATTAGTCCAGTTGATGTCTGATCATTGTTAAAAAATAAGTCTAGAGTGTTTTCTCTATTGATAATAAACCCGGTTTTTTAAACATATATCATAATTATCACGCTTGTATCTCGGAAATTGAGTAATTTGGAGCCACGTTCATAAGAAGTTGTCATATTTTGCCGAGCAGAATCTTCCCCAAGCTTATTTTGGTACTACAACTCTGAATAGCGAAATTTATTTTGTATTAGTTTGTGTGGATGTTTCTATAGGGTAAAACGGTATTTTTCGTTCAACACGTCTGAATGTTCATACTCTGGTAAGTAACTTAATTTAGGTTACTTTGAGTTTTGCTAGAATTAATATAGTTCGATATTGATATATCTTAAGTCTACCGTCTTTTTTCTACTGAACCAACTAACTTGTTTAAACACGCTTTTGGGTCTCATAATATAAATAAATTACGACGCAAAATAGAAAAAAAAAATTTGAAGCACCTGCGCAGTTTGTATCAACGTTAGCGCTGCCTATCTTTGATCTTTGTTTTGGAGTCTTGTAAGAATAACGTATGTCTATACTCGTAAATTTTATCAGATCTGGGCTCTCTGTAGTACAGACACAGGGGTCTGTATTTGACTTTTCATTATTCGCAAGGTATGTTTGTACTGTCCTTTTTCGTTCAGTAAAATTTATATAGAACCTGTGTATCATCGCAATTGATGAGTCTGGCAGTATTTCAGGCATTTTAAAAAGCTGTGACGGAAGGTATACACGCGTGATATATAAAGGGGTCCAAGGACCGAGCCTTGCGGTACTCCAGGCCACAACTTTTGTTATTGTTTTGACATATCAGACTTGGCAGCTATTGCAGATCGAAAGAAATCAAAATGCCATTTCGAATTATTTTCAAAGCAAAAATGTTCTTTAACTCTTCCGTTAACTGAATATGCCTAATTAAAAAAATTTCGCATCAACAGTCACCCAATGCATTCAAAACGTTCACTCCCCATTCTCCCCTAAACAATCCCGATTTTTTCAGGATATTCTGCCGCTGCTGGGGACTACGTGAATGGCCCACAAAGAGGAACTACTTACGGCCTTGTACAATCCTATCATCCTTATAGACGATCTTGAAATCAACAGAGATAATACCTGACCATTCCACTTCAGTTGAAATAACTGAAAATTTGTGATGTGTTTGGAAGCGGACGTTAAATATAAGTGTATAGTTTTTATGAGCATCCAACTTGTTGCTTATCAGTATTTGAAGTTACTGATTGCGAAAATAAATTGTCTTTCTAATTAGTTCTGATTCATTTGCCTGCAAGAGGCTGACTGACATAAAACCCCCAAGCCATAGCGCTGTTATAACCAATTTTGACCGTCATCTGATGATAACAAAATGTTATGATGATATAGTTTCCAAAGGCATGTGAAACCAAAGTAATTTATCAAACGGCATCTGTGCTGATCACTATCCTGAGCAAAACTATTGAAAAGTGGCACTTTCCTGTGCGGCAATTTTCATTTAATTTTGCGATTTTATAGATAAGAAATATGCCACCCCTTAATCTGAGTCATATCTACGGCTATTATTCCTGACACACTTGCCTCATGTGATAATTAGTTGAAACAAAAAGCAAATAAAAGTAGATAATGTCTCGCCTTTGCGATTATCGAAACGAGCCGCTCAACATGTCGATTTGAATACTTGTAGTGCGAGCACCATGCACATTAGTTCGACACATTATAGTCACTAGTCGCATCAGATATTATCTTTCGACAGGACCGAAATGTTGAAGCTCTGCCAACTTGAATCAGTTTGAATCGCGGCACGTTTGAATATTCGCAAAGGAGAGAAAAATTATCCCCTTTTATTTGCTTTTTGTTTCAACTTGTTATCACATGACGGAAGTATGTCCGGAATAATGGCATCAAATAAATCGATGTGTTGATTTGTTTCAGATTATTGGGTGACACAGAGGTAGGTTTCTGAGATCTACCATTCAATAGGCGCGATAGTGGACTAATTCATTTTATTTCTTAAATAAAATCATCACTCAAATAACTTTTCAATTCCATTTTAAGAATTTTTTGGTCGATTTTTAGGTGCTGAAGTCATCAATAATGCCACGGTAATTTTCAAACGGCTGAAAATTTACCGCCAGTAAAAATACTGCGACGGCACAATAATTTTGTGCCATGTGTTGAAATACGATTGGGAATCTCAATTATATTAGTTATTCGATGATTCATAAATTTCCAATTGAGTATTAACAATACTCCTAATTATAAGAATTTTTTGGTCGATTTTTAGATGCTGAAGTCATCAATAATGCCACGGTAATTTTCAAACTGCTGAAAATTTACTGCCAGTAAAAACTGCGACGGCACAATTTTGTGCCATGTGTTGAAATACGATTGGGAATCTCAATCATATTAGTTATTCGATGATTCATAAATTTCCAATTGATGAGTACTAACAATACTCCTAATTAGCAATAAATATTCAATTGTCTCAAAATGTTCCCTTATGATTTGTGACTTATATTGCTTATAATATAAATTTGTGTAATAAATAATATTATAATATTAATTCATTAGAAGACATTTGAATCGGTAAACGTGACAACCACGACGCATGACTTATTGTGGGCGTGGTCTTGTCAGTTCTCAGCATTCAGCACAAATGTTGCCAACCAAGTCTCTCTCCAACATTCATATATGATATGCTGTTGTGGAGAATAAGAAATATTTGGACATGCTGGTTGCTCGAAAAGTCAAGAATGAACTATAACATCATCATATATATGCGGGCTCCTCCTATTATGTTTTATTCAACGACGACAGGACTCTAACATCTTTTTCGATAACTTTTGATTATAATTGGTGATTTGGATTTGACAACCTTGCTTCATGAGTGGAAATGGAAGATTATCTTACCAATAACAAAACAGCATAAAAACTGATGTCACCATTTATTCGACGTATCGCCAAATGGCGGCCATGAAGGTAACGTTTGAATTTTGAAATGAGCTTTGAAATTCAACAATTTCAAACAAGCATATAGGTACTCATTATTTACATAAAAAAAAGCGTGAGAAATGTTGCAAAAATTAATTTAGATCCCTATATAACGACACAGTGGTAATTGAATGCCAATAATTCATCATCAGTCCACTCGCCGCCCATTGGTATCGGATGGCATACGAATAGTCGAGTATAGAAATCATGATTCAATACAACCACGTTGAATCTCATCAAAGTTTGCTATGGAAAAGTATTTTCAGTTTTTCTAGTAACGAAAAAAGAAAATTGAATAGATATTATCCAAAAATTCGCATTTTTCGATATAACAGAAAAACTATAAAAACAATTTTGATAATTTTCGTAGTAAAGAAATCAATATAACCACGTTGAATCTCATGGAAAGTTTCTATGGAAAAGTATTTTCAGTTTTTCTGTATCTAATTATAACGGAGAAAAGAAAATTGAATGAATAGATTTTCCGAAAATTCACATTTTTCGATGTAACAAAAAAACTAAAAACAATTATGATGATTTTCGAAGGCCGTTTATAGGCCCAAAAACGAAGACTGAAGAAACCCCTGATTCGGAAATAAATTGTGCTAGGCAGATTATCGCCGTTTCAAGTTGTAGGGTTGACCCATTGGAGTAATATACCGAAAGTCCCCAACCATAAAACACAGTTCTTGTTGGATTGATAATATCACCCAATGAGGGAACATATTATTGTCCACCAAACCGCGCCACCGAAACATGAGGTCAGGGTTGGAACAACTGATAAATATTTACTTTTTATTGGTCATAATGTTCTAGGTTTTCTATTTTTTCAAATATTCTACATCATTTTCATCATAAAACAGGCCATAGCTTTTAGGGCTATCCGGCAAAATTTCGAGATTTTTGACTTTGACCTCACGTTTTACTAGCGCTATAACCAGACCAGTATGAACAATTCAATCAAAGTCAATGGCAAATCAGTGACCATCGATCCTTTGACTATTTTTCGTGGAATATGCAACCTCTGAACGTGACATCATCAACCACTGTGATAAAAAGTGCGCTGTGGTATTTCACGGCTACGCTGATGCTAATAGAACCAGAACAGCTGAGCAGAAACGGATGGGACATTCAAAAATCTAATTCAACATCCACTTTGATAAGACATACCATGTCCTACACTGTTCAGCAGAACAATTTTTTGTCTCACGTTTCCAACAAAATATCAGGCTCATCAACTTGGTTAAAAAAAATGGGAGCACAGCGACTAATTACAGTAGCAGCTAGAGGAGACGCTGACTCCAAAATCGTTGGCTATGGTTTGCAGGCAGCTGACCAGCATCGAACTATCACAGTCATAGGGGAGGATATAGATGTTGGTGTTGCTTGTTGCACACTATATAACCTCTCCTGGCAAAGAGATGCTTTTCTTCAAGCCAATCACGATGGTATAAATGTATAGCCAACCTCCAAACAAAAGCCATCCATTAGTTCAGTGGTTGTGCAATACTACCTCTGCTATATACAGGGTGATTCATAAGAAGACTCACATAGCCAAATGGTAAATATCAGGAAGATCAAGGCGAGTTAATGTAAATATGAAAACATTTTTGACCACCCATAATGAAGATACAGGGATCTGCAATACTTTTGCCATTTTTGAGTAGTTTCAATAGGGAAACATCGCTCCCAAATTTTAGCAAACTGATGAATCATTTCTGAAATATCGACCAACAAAATTTTAACATACAGGCCTAGCAAGAATAATTTTCCTATGGAGAAACGATTCATTGGCGTCGTTTCCCCACCTACTCGAGTCTGGTACGTGTGGCAAACGATAACCCCGGCTCGGTCGGCCAAAAAAAAATGGACTCACTCGAAGGAGGTGTTAACGCCATACGCCAAGCGTATGGCAACGATGCTACGCATACACACAGTTTCTCTATAGGAAAATTATTCTTGCCAGGCGTGTATGTATATAAACTCGTCTTTCCCCCTATTCACCATCAGACTATGTGAAACTCCTCATGACTCACCCTGTATATATCAAGAGCAAGGGACGTGTTGTGGAGCTATTTTTGAAGGCTCAGCAGGAGCAGGTCAGAGATTTCTACAAAGTCTTTTGTGATCCCTCAGCAACACAATAAGACTGATGCAGGAGAGCAGCTTTTTTTTGAGCTTTGTACCAGGCCCCAGAAGAAGCAGATCTGAACCGAGGACGACACCAAGCCTTTGGTAAAGCTTCGACAAAGCCTGAATCGAGTGTTTGTGAAATAACACCACCACCACTTCATAATGGCAAGTGGCAACTGAGAAAGTAAAATGTTCCTCGTCGAGAAATGGATTATAATAAACCGCGCGCACCACCCTCTTCTAATGGCCAAGTACTACCCAGACCAAAAACACTTGGTTCCTATGCCCCATGCTGTATAACATGCATGGTTTTGAGCTACAAAGGCCTCATCATTATTCTTTGCAGAACCAGCAGTGGCTATATGGAGATCAGCAGCAGGAGCCTAATGCTTGATGGATGAGGGGGTTGGATGGCTTCCTTACACCTGTTACAAGCACGAACCCAGTTGCGCCAGAATCCATCTCGAATACCATATTTTGCGGGTGCACAATTGGTTGTGGGAGCTGTTGCCGGTGCTGCAAAGCACGCTTGTGTGCAGCACTAGCAGCGCGCTTCGTTTAGCAATGGCCTTCCAATCGTCAACATCGATGGCGACGTCGATGATAAACTTGACAATGACATCAACTAATTACCGGATATGAAATCGAAATCGTGAATAGGTACTCGTTATACCTTCACTTGTCGAGCATCATCCTCGGTATTACCTTCCACAATGAAGTTTTTTTTTTAATTTTTCAGCTATTTGTATGTTCAAACTCACATACACCCTCAACTACTGCTTTCATTGACACAATGAATATGACCTTTTTTGTGGAAAATGTGATTCCCTTTCTTTTTGTATATGGCAACATTTTTGCTAGACTTAGTTTTCCAGACAATGATGAAAATCTTTCAAACCGGCCCTTTCCACCCCTTCCCTCCTAAGGTCCACGGTTGGGGAATTTCATTATGCAACTCTTAAAGGCCAACTGCACATCGATAAACAATAATCTGCATTCATTTCCGAATGCATGTCTTCGTATCCTGGCATATTGGTATGAACCTCTGAATACGCAACTTTTTTCCCACTGTTGTATCTCCTTTCGTTTCCGAGATCCTCATGTTGTGCAACATTATCTTGGTCACACTGTAAACAATGTTTTCATGGTAACCTTCCTGAAATCATTCAATCTTATTGCCAAACACTGTATAAACATTTCAAACATTGACATTTGTTAGGACCTACTGAATTTTATAGCTTCTATCCAACATTTTTTTGCAGCTATACATTTCTTCATAGATTATTCAGATGGTAATGGAATGAAATTATTCAATTACAAATAACGTTTAGCACAGTTGTATAGGTTTTATTCAATAAAAAATCTAAATTAGATATTAAAGCTTGAACAGGGATTTTTTTGTAGATAAAAGACAGGGAGTGCTGAAAAATGTTTCAATGTATCATATTTCATAATTTGTAATGCAAAAAAATATCTACAAATCAATTTGACATTTATTTACATCAGCTGCACAAAAATTGAAATATTCAATTAAAAATATTGACTAATGAAAAAAAAAAGCATCCATCACAATATCATAATTATATGAAACCAGATAGGTATAAGGTTTTTTGAAATTCTCAAGCAAACAACTGACAAATCCATTGAGGAAAATGTATTGTCATTTGAATTTTATAAAGAATCGTTTCAATGGTCACCATCCCCATGAAATATTTTTTTCCTGGTTCATTACCTCAGCAGGTCTATATTTTTCTGCACTTCCATATTTAGTTTGTTATCAATTCTTTAACTGTACAATAAATAATTATAAAAAAGTGTGAAAATATATAAGCTTATATCACAAAACTCAATAAGTAGAAATAAATATTTTTCTCTTATGTAACAAACTAAAAAGTCTTCCTATGTATAGCTCGTTGACCCTCTTCGTCGAATTCTCTCTTCGATACCCACATTTTCTTGAAGGTATCTAGCGACGCTAAAATCGAGCCCCCTATCCAGGTGGAGTACAACCTTTCCTGGGGAGCGGATATCTGAAAAAGGAAAAAATCTACACTATCATTATGAAGAGGAAAGATTTGATTGATTGTTTGTATTGAAAAGGCTCCGAAACTACTGGACCGATTTGAAAAATTCTTTCACGAATAGAAGGCGACATCATTCCTGATGAACATAGGCCGAAAATGCTTCATTTCTACGAGAAAACGAGTAGGAGGAATTGTCCTTCCGTACTTATCTTTCTCACATAACTTCAAAACAGGTGAACCAATTGGGTGGAAATTTTATATGGGTATTTTGATAGTTTCGTGGATGATTTAAAAATACAATTGGGCGGGGTACGTCAACTGCTTTACGGCTTGACCAATTGGGTTGAAATTTTTAATAAGTAATACAACAGAAAATACCTACTGAGAGAATGAAAACAGGTGTAAGTATATAATAGTAGCTATAGGTAAGCACAAAAATTAAAACAAAAATAACGAAAAAAATTTCACAGTAGATACGCATAAGCGCATAGCTCAACGACTATAACAATAGTTATTTATTATACAAGGGAAAAAAGTAGTAGATTTTAGCTCCAGGTTGTGTTGTCTCTCGACGCGTAGCGGAGGGAGACAAAAAACCGCAGATGGAAATTATTGTCTTCAATTTTTTCATTTCCGTGTTCCATAGCCCTGTAACCACTGAGATGATGCACTGATGCCTTCAGTATATTATTATGTAGTTTATTACTTGATAAGATGTTTAATCTTATCAGAGCCAGTTTTTTATGGCTCTTTACCAAATATAAAAACATTTTCATCATGTGCCCGGCCCCGATAGCCAAATTGCTTAGCTCATGTCATGTTTGTTTTGCCATCGTAACCTAAAGCTTTATATTTTGGTACATCCTAATTTTTTCCTTTTTCCAATTGTATTGTTATTTCATCATATTACAGGTACTTTTTATGTCTGATGATGGCCGTTTCACCGAAACCGGTAACATGTATTAACTGATTGATTTATATAAAGTATGGTCGACCGACTTTGAGCTTCTTGTTTTCTTTGGATTTAGATGGCTGTGGACACAACAGAAATGCTATGGAAACAAAACAGTGATTTTCTGACATATCTGTCAGTTTTTCAATAAAAATGGGTTACTTATTCCGTAGAGGAAAAAGACGAGATAGTGAGATCACATTATTAATAAAGTGCACCAATTTCAGTAAGACAGCAAGAATTTAGTCGAAAACGTCTTCAAGAGAACATGAGCAAACTATATATATTTGAGAACAGCAGAAAAAGATCTTTGACAAAAGTTGAAAATATAAAAGGTGTTCCATTCAAAAACACTGATTTGCACTCTTTCTTCCCATTTTGCGATTCGCATTTGTTTATTTAAGCAGTGCCAAAAGATAGTACAGATGAAACCCTACAACTTCCATATTTGTTTTTTCCACCTCCTATAGTTGAAGCTGTAGGTAGGGGTCAATGAGACAGCCTGTACCTAGTGCTTCCAATTCTTTTCTTTAGGGCTACTAAAAGGGTAACATGTATGTCAATAAGCCAATATCGAAAAAGACGTGGGGGCGCTGGGACATGAAATTCTGAGAAAAGTTGTAGAAAATGCTCTGGAAAGAACGTGTCTGGTCGAAGCAAACAATGGGCACCATTTGAAAATTCAAAACATTATCTAAACGTAATTCTACACTTATATCTAATTTTTAATCAATACCAGCGTTTAATGAAATCATGAAGAAAAAACTAATTCATTAAATAAATCATAACGTGACTCAAGCGCTACCCTTGAGTTGCTTACTAGTGCGACCTATAAATCGACTAGTGAAAAACACTTTTAGAGAAGTGAACCTTATTGAAAACTCCACACCAGTAATGTTTACGTAACCGAATTGAGTTTCTTTGACAAATCATCATAGCAACTCATGTATTTTGTGGTAATTTTGTTTTCCTGGGTACCCACCAGCAAAGTAAATCAAAACATTTTTTGACGTTTAAATTACAGAATAATATTTTGACGTCTAAAATAGTGATTTTGTGCTACTGAGTAGAAATCAATTAAAAGGCTAAGAATCCATTGTGCCCAAACTGCATCTATTATATGGAATGTCATACCACTACTTCCTGGGCCAGTGTAAGGGGCATGATGGAATGCCAAGATTCGAAATTGTTGGTGCTGATATGCTTCAACAGGAAGATCTAATTATCCTAAGGTGGGTGTATGGACATACTGACCTTCATCAGAAGGTAACGGAGGTTCGGAAAGGAGAATTAGGAGAAGGAAGAGTAGATATGTGTGCAGCAGGGTGTCAGGAAACTGGGCCCACGAGGGCCTACTTGCTAGTCGACCGCCGCCCCTATTACTACTACTAGTATTGATAAAATTATAATTTTCTACCACTTGTAGTAACCCAGAGTTGATATAGAATGACAGAATATAATATGTTACATTCTAAAAAGATATCTTCATGCAACTACAATAGGTAGAAATTAGAAATTTGTATGTGCTAGGAAACTATTATTGGTGTCGAAACTGCGACCCAAACTGAATTCATTCATGAACCTATATGAGAATCAGATGAGTAAATAAATTCTAAAATTATTTGATTCCCATAAACAATCTGTTGTAAATTCTCTTACCGAATACAACACGAGGTTGAAAGACGCGGGATAAATTCCAAAATATTCATGAGTGCGAAAAAAATCCAGGAAAATTATTCAACCTCTAGTGGTATTACATTCAACCTCTAGTGGTATTATTACAAGTGAAAATACCGATGCAGTTATCGACACTGCTCATCACGATAGCACTTACCTTGATTTGCGTCTCCTTGGGAGAAATCTTCTTGATCTCGGACAACAGCCTGTCGCCGAAACCTTTGAAAAGCGTCGACCCTCCTGACAGAACGATATTCTTGAACAACACCTTCCTCAGGTCCAGATCCGACTTTTGTATGGAGAACACGAGCACCTCGTGCAGCCCTTCGAACTCCTCGCCGACCATGTCCGGTTTGAAGAGGATCTCGGGCGCCCTGAACGAAAAACATTGTTCAGGTTCCGCTTGTTAAAAATATTAGTTATAAGTTCAGTCATTATTCTCCAATGATTCAAGATTTCTTCAAATCCTCTTTTGCAAGCTTCTGTTTTTTTTTCGCGAATGTTCTGTGATTTCTATCCCCACCACCAGAATTTTGGCAGATAAGAGCAAACAGACTATACTACTATGCTCTAGTCACAGTAGAGTGCAAAAGTCGCGCTTAATTTATTACCCCAAGAATTTATTTATGATTCCACGGAAATGAAGATATTGATAGAGAGCCTAAAAGAAGAATTCACTAGCTTGTGAGTGACAATTTTTATTGAAAAAGGGTTTGGAGAAGAGAAATAAAGGTACATAGAGGAAATATCAAATTTTTACTTATCTTTGGACGTTTCGGGAACGAATCTGCTCCCGTTTTCAACAAAAAAAAAATGATTTTTGCAAATTCGTATTTGACCTGACACTTCTCAGTTCTCAGTGACAATTGGTGACGTTGGCAATCAAATGAGTTACAGGATGTTTTCATCAATTGATTTTGAATTTACCATTCTCATTGTCAGATTTCAGTAGTGAATACCAACTGAACAGGAAGCATTGCTATTGTCTCAGTTCAGAAGAATTCAAGCAGATTCCTTGACTTTTCTCTTCTGGTTGTTATCTTCTTTTCCAATGATTTTAATATGTTTACATGTATATTGAAATAGTATTCATATTTTAATTTTATAGAGACGAGGAGACAAAATCCCAAAAAATCTAAAATTGATAAAAGATCTTGCTCTGAAATTTTTTCTGCAATTTTTTCGATTCCTATCGATTTTGTTAGCAAGCAAATTAAGTCTATTCAAATAAAAAGACGATAATTCTCACAGAAGAGATTCTATGACATTTTCTGTTTAGAGCAATATTTTCCATGGAAAATCTCCGCGAGAATTATGTTTAGAACAAAATGTTCATTTTTATTTTGAACAGCGTTGAACCGCTAGAAGGCACGATGCTCTTGAACAGCACCTTCCTCAGATCCTGATCCGACTTTAGTATTCGCGATAGAAAATAACACGTCGCCCCATCTGACGGCAGCAACTTGAACACTTCTGAGCGGTTTGTTTTGATGATATGACCAATAAGCCTAAACAAAAAACAAATGTGTACCAATGAAAACAAAGTAAACATGCCGCTTTGACAGCTTTCAAGAACTCCGATAGGTAGCGTACGCTTATTTCCTATCGCGAATAGAGAACGCCTCGAGCACCTCGTGCAGACCTTCTAACTCCTCGCCGACGATGTCCGGTTTGAAGAGGATCTCGGGCGAGATCTCAGTTTCCGCTTGTCAATAATCCCTACTAATAATTGTTTGCTATGCTTTCACGCCGAAACCACTCAGCCGATTATCATGAAACTTTGTATACCTATTCTTAGATGTATTATGGTGCACAAGTTTTCTAATTATGATCCGATTTTATTCAAAATTCTGCGTCATAATTAAAAAATTCAAGATGGCGGATTTATTATGTCGAACGAGCTCTGCAGCGAATAGTGTTTTGAAGCCAAACTGAAAAGAAATAGGAAATAGGAAATAAATAGTAGTTTAGAAAACTGAAGAAATAGATTACTCAAAAGAAGTAGAAAATGAATAGCAGGTTGAAAAACTAAGAAAACACGCATTTATGGTTATTCAAACTGAAAAGAATTGGAAAATAAAATAATAAAGGTGTGTAGTTGAATATGTAACTAAAAAAATGTTTTCTAGAAATAATTTATATAGCAAAACAACGTTTGCCGGGTCAGCTAGTGATATGTTTATATAATATTATATCAGTCAATATGAAGCATATGAGCCTGAATTTTTAATACAAATATCGAGATAGATCTCGAACAAACACATCGATTGGTTTGTCTTCATTTGTCCACCTATTTGAATCCACGGGCATAATGATATTGATTCGAAATTAGTGTAGTTTCAGGTATATATTGGTGTCCTGAACAACCTGTCATAAGTCTGCGACGTAGGGAGGCTCCGCCAGATATTTGGCTGCAATTTAAATGCCCAAAATCTTGCTCCATAATGTTTTTTGCAATTTTCTCGAAGATATCGATGTGAATAAAAAATTATAGAGTTAAGAAGGGATCACCCTTCAATCCAAAGCATGGTGAGTTCAACTACTCACTTTTGCCACGAGCTGTTAGGAAGTTAATCGTGAAAAAGTAACTTTCGTTATTCCCTGTACAATGATTTTTTTACGGGAAGTAGAATTTAGGTTATTGTTTCGGAACAAAATCTGACAAGAAATAAGAAAGTTACAGGGTGATTAATTTGGCTGATTTTTTGCTGGCAGATGAGTGTATATGTGGGAGATTTAGTAGCACTTGAAAACTATTTATTTAAGAAGCCCATTTGCAGTAGATCAATGTTGACTTCACTGAGTAGCCTAGCTGACTTCTTCCACTAACTAGTATAATATATACTCAGATTCCTTGGAATTACAACATTAAAATAATAACAGGATTTAGAGTGACTTACGATTGCCCCTAATGTCCAAGCAGGAAGGAAGGAGGAAGGAGAAGATGGTGTACTAGACAGAAAGCTAGACAGAAAACTTGTCTCGTCCTGCGCATGATGTATAACTGTAATTGTTATTATTTGTTTTCATGATCACTGTCCCAAACCTCAGATATTATATAAGTTCTAAAACTGAACGAAATGATTTCAAAATGCCCACTTGTTTCATTTCTGGTAATGGAAATTCCAACTCAAATAATGGTACCTACCTTATATTCCCAGTCCTCTTTTCAGGAAACATTTCCATGCAAAATGTTCTCAAACAAGTTTGAAAGTACAGTTGTTGAATTACACATTTAAAAAAATCACAAATATTTGAAACAAGATGTCATTTCTACAAAACATCTTCCGTCGAATATTAAGTTAGAAATAATTGGAAATGAATTCAAAACACTTAATTTCTCACAAATATGAATTGCAGCAAAGATTTGAATAACAAAACGGCAAAAAATGATACTCCTGCTGTCGAGCAGAAGCAACGTCAACTGCTGAATTTGAATCTGTCAAAATTGACACAGTGGTGGATCATTCAATGGAATTGGCAACGCATGATTCGTATGTATTCGCTATATGCGATTTCAAATTACCGCAAGATCACAAATTCCAGAATCAATGGAATAGTAAAATTGAAGGAATATGTACCTATTTATATGAATTGAATTATTTCTAGACAGATCGAGAAATCCATAGAAACTTCAATAAACCCGATTTCATAGCGCACGCCTATGGCAACAGTATCTGTCTTTGACCAGCACCTGTCATTGGTATACCAGATGACGTCACGTAATCTGCGCGTAGGCACACCATCTTCTCCTTCCACTATGTGTCCAAGCAATTATTCCTTAGAATAGAAGATTCACTGTAATGTATCAGTGAATGATTAGTTTTTAACAACTTGAATTCTAGTTTTTTGACAATATCAATCATTTACTTCCTATTAAGTGATGGATTCGAATTTCAACAAGATTTGGAAAATGATTCATGAAAACGGGCAAACTGAATACTGTCAATACTCATTTCTAATAGTTTTTGTTAAAAAAAATCGTGATTTTTGCAACGCTGGTTGAGTATTTTTTCCAAAATACTTGAGGAAGTTATAAGAGAATTGTTGACTTCATCAATGAAAAATATGGGTTTGACTTGAACCAATTTGGTTTTCAAAAGAAAAGTGGTTCACAGTCAACAGTTTCACAAGTAATCAATCTCATACAAGATAGACTTGATAAAGGAAATTATATAGTAGCTATTTTAATGGACCTAAAAAAAGCATTTGATATAATTGACCACAATATTCTCCTGAAAAACCTTAATTCAATGGGAATCAGAGGTATAAAACAATCTCTTGAAAACATATCTAGAAAAAAGGACTATCAGTACTAAAATCAATAATTGTGAATTTGAAATACTATATACAGTGTGTTCCACTTACCATGCTCACCATGGGTATCTTTTTAACGGTGAGAGATACGAGGTCGGTTAAATGACACCAAATGGGGAGTTTGCCAAGGCCAACTATAATGTGAAAACATATTTTGATTAAATCTATTCGTTTTTGTTTTATACGCAAAAAACAGATTTCGATCATTTTCATGTCTCCTCCATAACTTCTTTATTTATGAAAATATTCAAATAGGAATTTCAGATTCTCATGGCAAATTTTCAAAGTAATTTCGAAAAAAATATGAAATTTATACCAACTCTTCTAGAATATGAGATATCAGCACCAACTTTAGTTTTTCAAATGTAGGTCATAGCTCACTATGACTTAGTTACAAATAATTTTTTTTTCTCTTACAGATAATATGTCGCAATAGTTTTGTGTTGATAACAACGGAGTTATCGTCATTTATACAAAAACAAAAAATTATTTTAGAGCCGCCATCTTAAATTTATAAATTTTAACAAAAAAATCATGATCTCCGACCTCAAAAACCCCCACTTACCAATTTTGAATGGAACCGGACCAAATCTTGTCCGCCATCAATTAAAAAAATGGCTGCTCCAAGATGGCGGCCAAGATTTGGTCCGATTCCATTTAAAATTGGTGAGTGGGGGTTTTTGAGGTCGGAGATCATGATTTTTTTGTTGAAATTCATAAAATCAAGATGGCTGCTTCCAAATAATTGTTTGTTTTCGTATAAATGACGATAACTCCTTTGTTATCAACACAAAACCATGACTGCGACATATCATCTGTAAGATAAAAAAAAATTATTTGTAACAAGTCATAGTGAGCTATACCTACATTTGAAAAACTAAAGTTGGTGCTGATATCTCAAATTCTAGAAGAGTTGGTATAAATTTCATATTTTTCTCGAAATCACATTGAAAAACTGCCATGAGAATGTGAAATTCCTATTTGAATATTTTCATAAATAAAGAAGTTACGGAGGAGACAAGAACATGATCAAAATCTGTTTTTTGCGTATAAAACAAAAACGAATAGATTTTATAAAAATATTTTTTCACATTATAGTTGGCCTTGACAAACTCCACATTTGGTGTCATTTAACCAACCTCGTATCTCTCACCGTTAAAAAGATACCCATGGTGAGCATGGTAAGTGGGACACACTGTATAAACAAAGGAGTCCCCCAAGGCTCAGTATTGGGTCCAATTCTGTATCTTTTATACATTCAAAACATTTAAAAAATCAAGGTGTGTTATCACTGGGGATCCTCGAGTGTATCATTGTCTCTCTCACAGCTGCAAATGTCGTAATCCTACCTCACTGATTATTATGGAAGATAGAGAGGGGCAACCATGAGAAATGTGACACACTGAGTATATTTTTGCGAATATTTCTAAAGTTGTCGGAGAAAAAGGTAGGATAATATATATATTTGAATATGAAATGCCTAGGACTATCCAACTGTGCTAAAATATACTGGGTGTTCCATTAGAAAAAAAAATAATTGACTGCCGTATCTTCTTGATGTCACCCTGTATACAATTTCTGATGATGCCAATGGATTCTACGCATAATTCTATATGGATGAAAATTTTAAAATTTTCAATATCTCTCTTCATAAGGTACTCAGAAAATAAAAACGAAATCGGCAATTTTTCAATTTCCCCCTGTATCTCTGAAACGAATGAAGATATCGAAATTCAAATTGTACCATTCGAGGTTTCTCTAAAATCGAACCCATAACATGTATATCGATTTTTTGATAACTCCTTCAGTTACTGAGATAGCCTATGTACACGCCCAATTTTGCCCACTCTGTACATACCTGAACCGCGACGGGCCGATTTTGATGACGCTGCCGTCGGGCAAGGTGTAGTTGACCTGCTCCGACTCCACCGTTTCCTCCTTCATCGGGTGGTTCGACAGATAACATGCCTTCTCCTTGATCGTCTTCACCGATTCGAATTCGGCGGTCGTCCGGAAGATCGTGCCCTCTTTCCGCAAAAGCAACCTGAGAAGCGAACATTTTTATGTACCTGCTTCTTTTTGTCTGAGAAACACGACTTCGATAATGAAAATGTAAACAAACCACTGCTTATCGAGAAATTTCACGAAGAAGTTAGGAATTTCACCTTTTCCGCCTGTTTTGGATACGCATCTAAAATTATTTGCCCTTCTTCTTTCATCATTGGACAATTTATTCCTATATCACGATAATTATTGAAATTAACAATATTTCATAACATGACAAACGCGGGAGAACGCGTGACGTAATTATCCGTGAACCATTCGATGCAACCACAAGACTTACCTCCATTCTCTATTTCTGATAGAATATTTCTGATTGTCATCTTGATCAAAATATGGAATGCATTTTCTGGATTGAATACTTACTGCAGATATCAGAGAACCCAACACATAACTAAAGAATCAGATGATATGAGGATTATCTTTGAATATTCGCATCTTGACTAGATTTTATTTATTTTATTTATTTCAGTTATTGCATTACATTCTCTTCTTCATTGATACATTTCATACAAATAATATACAAAGTATAATTAATTTTCTAGTAGGAATGACATGAATGGTCAGACAGTAATTCCTGGTATAAGATCATTCATGAAGTATTTGAAGATGAAGGTGACACGACAATATTGACTTAAGGAAGTTGGGTTGACAATGTAGTTTATCTTCTTCCTCTTTTTTTGTATTTCTGGGAAAATAGGCATTTTCACTGTTGCTCGTACCACAAAGTAATATGTGATTAAATAAAATCTCAATAATTATTAGGATAGTAGGATATTTTTATTGGTACTGAAGCAACTTGCAAGTATTAAATAATTGATTATTAGGGACCAGGTCGAACTATTGTCTTCAATGATTGTGAATACTATTGTCATTGGTCATTCGCAATTTTTGAAAATCTGATCAAAGAATTAGACAAGAAATTCCTGCAGTGCAGGTGTCATTCCTGTTGAAATCTTTAAATTTCACGTCGATAATTTTCTGATTTTAATATAATACACTATCTTCTCATCAATGATTCGTCACAAATCTACTACTCTTTTCCCTTTCATGATGAATAACTATTCTAAAAAAAAATTGTTCTATCCCTCATTCGGTTGCCCCCTTACGAGCAAGAAGTCAGAAATCTTCGAGAGTCTAGTGCGAGCAAGGAATGACGGTGGCCTTACCTTTTAACGTGTGATCCCAAACACTCTTGGGCCATCCGAAAAATTTCTGCAGTCGCTATTTGAAAAAAACATCTTGATGGTAGGTTCAGCTACTCCTCAAGGAATATATTCTCGATATTGCTTGCAAAAGGTAGGTAAATACATTAAATCGTCGACATATTCCGGGATTTTTCAAACAAAATATTCAGCACCAGCGACTTTATTCCAATTAAAGCCTCCACACTGTGTAGTCTACAATAATGAAAGAAGAATGGCAAGTAGTTGTGAGTGCATATCAAGGACGGATGGAAAAGGCAGGTTAAACTTCGAAGTTTTTCGTGGAATATCTGGATGAACAGTGGTTTGTCCAAACTATGGAACTCATGTTTTTCTAATAAAAATACGAAAGTATAAAAAAAAAATTTTAGACAAATTTAATTTCATGATGAATGCAAAATTACCAATTTTTCTGAACATTAGTGTTCTCTTTATGGTAGTCTAATAACCATAAAGAATGTAGCTGCAACCTATATTACTCATATTACTCTTCACCTACCTCTCTGAACTGATACATTTTATCAGACATAGGCTGTTTATCAGTGTACATAAATGAATAAAAAAAAATTACCTCAAATATCTTGAGACGTCCCTTCCGGCTATATCTGACCTCATAATACTGTGCGGTAGAGCGAATCCTTCATAAATAGGCACTGAATGAGTAACACCGTCGCCTGAGTCCAACACTACTCCAGTAGTTCGACCAGTCGAATATCTGAAAATGATAGTTATTCAAGAATCAAGGGCATAAAATAGGTTTGCTACTATGGAAAGTAGGCAAGAACACACGAGATACAACCTCAGTAAGTAGCTCTTTACGCACAGTAAGCACATCGCACAGTTTTCGTTTATTCCGCCAGTCATAATCGCATAATCACCGTCAACAGCGGATGACATAACTGTCAAGAATTACACTTAATAGTGTATCAAAGGAAAAATGTCACTCCTATTCGGCCTATATGGACTTCTACCAAAGATTAATAGTGTATGACAAATAATTTGCTCCATTCATCTAGCTAGTACATTTCTTTTATTTAACAGGGTATATATCTCGCCAAAATAAGTTGTTTGGCCTAATGCTTCATTCCCCTCCTATAGTTTTTTGGTTCACTATAAACGGACAATTTATAGGTGAATAATGTAAAAAGAAGTTGATTAGTGTTTCTGATGAAATAATGCAACTGTAGGGTATCTAATGCTGGATTAATAACGGCTTTTTTGCGTTTTTCTTGAGAAAATGTAAACAAAATGTCTTCTTTTAACCATTAAATACTTGTAGCTGCGTTATCTTGAATATTTTATATGAACAACTTTGTGCCAAACATCTTATTTTGGTGAGACAGTACTTTAACTGTGTTTTGAACCCCTGACGAGCAATGAATTTTGATCATAATTGGAGTGAAATCAGAGTGTGTTTGAATCATTTTTATTTATAGTGTTATGGTCATGATACTAACATATTTTTGTGCATCTAGTATTTTTGTGTGTTGACACTATTGTGAATAGATAGACAACATTGATACTCATAAATACTAGAGTCTTTAAGGGTCTCAAGATATATTCATGGGTTGGGCACCATGAAGCTGGATTAAAGAAAAATAAATGGAGTTCAAAAATTTCAGAGGTACAAAACAACTTAGCCTCTTTAATACACTTAATACAGCTGATACTTTGTTTCATAAAAAAACTGACGTGTTCACACCAAATCAACTCTTCATCGAATATGAGTCCAAGAAATTTAATGCCCGAAGGATATTCAACTACTGTATTGTTGAAAGGAATTGGTGGTTTATCGGTAACCGTCCGGGGGTTGCTCACTTCCCGGACGCTTTTTTTTTTGAGGAAGTAGCATCGTTGTTGTCACTGTAACTATGAAAATCTTGGCAGATATGGTTTTGATAAATGCAGATGATAATTACCATAGAAGCGAAATATCGGTTGACAGCTATTTGACATGAAATTATTTGACATTTTGATTTTTGAAAGTTTGGTTGCAATTATCGCAATGAACTATCGGAAGCAACTGCGATAGTGAGTTTGAAAAATGTCTATACGAAATTTCCAATGTAAAGTTACAGGTATAGGTATTTTGTTCAAATTTCAGTATTAGATACAAACAGCGTACATACATTAGACATGTAGATTCAAAGTCTGAATTGGGCGAAAAGAGCCTGTAATAAGTAAGGTTGCGGTTCCTCTATTATCTGATAGATGCCAGCACGCTCGGACGTCGAAGACGACTCGATGTTGCCAAGCTGATTATATCGGTAACTTTCGTACTTTTTGAATTCTAGCCTTTCAGGGAAAAATACATTTGAACGATTTATCGTGTGCTGTTGAATATCCTATGAATTTATTGATTCATTTCAAACTAAGTACATTTTTCTCATTACAGTTTCAACATTATTTGGTGATATGATTATGGACAATATATTCTTAGTCAAATTGTCAAGAAAATCTGTCAACTATGTGAAACAATTTCATGACTTCTCAATTTCTGTTTTATGAGTTTTGTGTTTCTTTTCCGTTGTGCTTAGCAGTGGTGTAGCGGTAGATTTATTGTATATTATTTATTTATCTATTTATTGAACAAATAACTTCCAGACAGAATAGGCTCTGGTATAAGGAAGTACATAATTATATACCTATAGGTAAACATAGCATCATTCAAAATACATCACAACTGTAAATTGGCAAACAAAGAATAATATTTGTAAAAAAAAATGGCATGATTAGTTTTATCCAGTTCGCTCAGAAATAATCAGTTTTTCCACTTCATTTTTGAATGTACCTATATTTCTGCAATTTTTTATATTAACAGGTAGTTTATTGAATTCAGTTAAGGCTGAATGAGTGCATCTTTTTTGTCCGATTATGAAGCTAGCGGCGTCAAGATGAAACAAGTAATATTGTCTAGTTTCATGATTATGAATTTCAGAATTCCCTATCAAAGTGATATTCGACTTCAATTTATTATTTATGATATTATATGATATTTTAAGAGTTTCAATTCTATATATTTCATCTAAAGAATACGTATTTGTTAATTTGATTGAGGTACATTTTTTGTTTATTTTTTTGGTGAAAAATCATATATTCTATTTTGTTAGTATTTATCGATAAAAGGTTAGATTGGAGCCATTTTTCAAATATTTTCAAGTCTTCATTTATCATATTTTCTAAATTTGAAGGATTCTTGCCTTCATATAAAAGTACTGTATCATCTGCATACATGGTATATTTACACGCTAGACCAATTTCACTGATATTTTGAACATAAAGTAAATATAGTATAGGTCCTAAGATAGAGCCTTGTGGGACACCCTTATTGATTAATAGTTTATTTGACACAGAGTTCTTCGATTTTGTATTGATTGTCCTATTTTCAAGATATGAATTCAAAATATTTCTCACAGTGCCTCTGAGTCCCATTGTTTCTAAGTTTTCTAAAAGTGTTGTATGATCAACTGTGTCAAAAGCCTTCTTGAGATCAATGAAAACAGCTACCACATAATTTCCTGAATCAAGTCCTCTCTGGATTGATTCTATCACTTGTAGTACTGCTGCTTGTGTTCCACTGTTTTCTTGAAAACCAAATTGATTAGAATCAAAGCTATATTTTTTGTAGATGAATTCTACAATTCGTTTCTTGGGAATTTTTTCAAAAATTTTAGAAAATATGCTTATTAAAGCTATTGGTCCATAGTTAGTTGGATCCTGAGCATTTCCATTTTTGTAAATTGCTCTTACTGATGCATGTTTTAATTCGTGTGGGAAACTTTCTTTTATGAAAGATTCATTGATCAATTTTGATATTGGTGTAGCTAAAATGTGTCTCAATTCAAATATGTCTTTAGTAATCAAACCTTCTGGATCAGGGCATGTCTTTTTTAAATCATGAATAATAGAAATGATTTCGCTTTCATCAGTGGGAAACAGAAGCATTGTGGAATCATCATATTGTGGAAAGACATTTTGACGTGGAAGATTATTATAATACGATATGTTGTTGTGAAGGATATTTTATTGGATTGTTCTTTTGCTATTGTGTTTGGTGTTTACAGCGTGTGTTTTTGAATTCCTGTCAATTGCTGTGCTGATTTTTTGAGACTTACCAAGTTACGTGTGTGGTGTGGAAGGTTGTTATTCCAACAACCTCTCCATTGGAGTACATTTGTTTAGCTAAAGATCTTATCAGGTAAGTAAAGAGTGAAAAGGTAAAAATACAACTTTCAATAAATAATAAGAGCTGCTTCTATAGATAGTTGTTGAGTTTTTTGAAGAAGTTTCAACTTCAATTGCATTAGTGTTTAGAGGCAATAAAAGTTCACCATTATGGCTGATTTATATTCTCTAAATCCTCAAGAACATTCTTCGAAGAGTTTTTTTTCAATACTCTGAAATGATTTTAAATGCAACTCTGATATCAAAATAGGTGTATAATTTTTCTTCACATACTTTAAGGTGCCGAGAATGGGCCTACAGATGTGGAATCCTTCACAAGTATGAAGGTCAACTCCACATGCCCTATAATTCTTACTATAAAGTACGTTCATTACATTTTGAATCAGAAATGATAGTTGGAGAACTCAGAAAGCATCTGAAAAAGCATGCTGTACCAATTTTGAACCTGAAAAGTGATCATACAATTCAAAACTATCAACGAAAAATTACATAGAAAAATAGTTATTTGGAGACATGAATGAATTGATACTTGAAGAATACTTTACTCAAAATTATAAATTTGATATCCATTTGGGGAAGTACAAGAATACTTGTATTGATTTTGTTTTATTTATTTTTACACATTGACATAACTCGTTAATTAGTTGTTTATTTTTGTTATATGTATGTTATATGTATATGTTCATATATCCTTATTATAAACAAAGATGTTTCTTGGGGTAACAATGGACAAAACAACAACAATTATATATGAATAAAATTTATAAATGTTACAATAGATATTTTCCTTCATAACATCCCAAAAGTGCAAAGTAATAGTTTCTACTATGATTCCACCCAAAATGAATAATTTGTTATATCTTCAACAATTACTTGTGGCAACTCCACACAAAGAAATGTGATTGTCCTGTTTATTTGGAGGCCGGCGTACCTCAGTGCTTCGATGCTTCAATATCGATTCACGTCGAAGTATCGATCACGGGTTCGAGACCCACGAACGCAGACTTTTTCTGATGGCCTAAGAAAGTGTTTGGGATCACACGTTAAAAGGTAAGGCCCCCGTCATTCCTTGCTCGCACAAGTCTTTCGAAGACTTCTGAGGGTTGCTCGTAAGGGGGCAACCGAATGACGGATAGAACAATTTTAGAACAAAAAAAAAATTATGAATTTTGAATCTAAATAATTACTTCCTCTGTATTAAAGAGGATAACACAGATCGTCATAAAAAATACAAATTTTTCCACTTTGTAACATTCTTGATTATATTCATAATATTTTTGAGAATGTGCCATGAACATCTAAATACTGGTTCAGTTTTGTTTCAAATCTGATTTTCTGAATGACTTAAATAATATTATTTCGAATTATATCCTGAATTCCTGTAAGAATATAAATTTAATCAAATAAGCTCAAATCCGGAATATGTGGTACGCCCATGGATACAATCAAGAAAGCACATGATCTAGTACAGTTGAAGTACATTTTTACGTTGCGACATCTACAGAATAATAACGGAAGCGCAACCTTAGAATGTATGTTAGGTGGTTGAAGGTCTTTGGCGGCCGTTTTCAGAGATCAAAGGATTTTCAGACTTTGCACCTACTTGTCTAATGTATGTACGCTGATACAAATGAGAATTTATAAAGAAGGAATTGTATTCTACAAAGAAATAAAATATGGAAATGTGTCCCATTGATTTGTTATTCTACATGGTTGCCGAAAAAATAGTGTACAAAACACTTCCAGAAACAGTTTTTTTAAACTCACAGACTTCCAAGACTCGCCTACGGCTCGGCCTAGAATTTTGTATACTCGTCCAAAAAAACAGTATTTTCCGGACTTGTTACGTAAATTACTATTTTAGAACACTTACAAACTGAGCACAGCCTGGATAGAAACGAACAGCGCAGGCACGTTGAACGTCTCGAACATGATCTCGGCAGCCTTCTCTCTATTGGGCCGCGGATTCAACGGAGCCTCGGTCAGCAACACGGGGTGCTCCTCGGAAAATGTCGACAGCTGGTCCTGAGATTGAAATAGAATTTATTCCAGATAGCTAGGATACATCTTAATATCAGCAGTTCCGATAGAACAACAACACATAGCATAACAATGATTAAATAGGATGTATACAAAAAGAAATAGTTAGATAGATAGGTAGTTTATTAATCTCTTCAGGTCATTTACACAACATGAGACAAGTCGAAAAATACAAGTGGTACATACAGTTTGATGCAAATGTATGGAATAAATTCATCATTTCAGAAATGGGCGACATTTGAAAAAATTCCAAAAACACGTGAGATTCAATTTTTGAAGCCTCATCTCATGATATTCATATGAGAGATTTAACGTCACCGGTGTTGAGTAATGACGTGATGGACGATTTATTCAAATACAAACAGGGGTCATGTAACACCTCGTTTGAAAGGTCTACTGATCGTCTATCCAATGGTCACAATTTTGCATAAGAAGATAGAAACTAAAATGGATCATCATTTGATTAACTGAATCCGGCAGAGGTCTGTTATTGAGAATTGAACATCAAAGGGTCGTCTAGTTAAAAAAATACATCAATTGAAAAAGTTCTAAACTCTAGTTTTCGGATTTTTTTTGAAAGTCGTCTTGTTTGAAATGAATTTATTCTATACATTTGCATCATACATATATACTTAAACAAACAAATAAAAAATAAGTTGAAATCATAAACTATAGCAAAAAGAACAAACATTGAAATATACATAGTTTTTTGTATCTCAAATCTCAATCACTAACGGCAAGATGGGTATACTCGTCCAAATAATAGAATGCAAAGCTGATTTGAATTCATTTTCATTCATGATTGACTTCATTAAGTCAATTTTTACATTTATTATAGCAAGTCTCTTTTGTTACATTTTTTAAAGTTCTCAACAGTCTCACATTCTTTTATGCTTTGAGGAAGAGAATTATATTGTTTCAGTCCCAGGGGCGTCGATAATGTTATTTCTTAGCGAGTGGTAATGGCTTTTTGATTTAGGTAATGGAAAAAAATCATATTATATAGAGAGCCATTGATAATATACAGTGTCTCACTTCAAATGCTTCACTATAATTAATTATCGATATGATCGGTTTTTCAGAGACGAACATCATTTTGGTAAGTACCATGTGACTTTATTAAAATGAAAAAGGATACTTTTTTATGAAGTCATATTTAGGAAATTGTTAACAGGAAAGCTGACATCATAATAGAATGCTTCATGGTTTCAATCTCCTCTATATAAATTTTTATCTCATTTTTATGAAGGTTTTTTAAAAAACGGCACTACTTAGCAGCATATTTGCGAACGTAAATAATCATTTACTGGGAAAACGGTGAGTCAAAAAAAAGTATATCTTGTTTTTCTTTCAGACCATAATTTTCTACATACCAGAGCTATTGAAATGCCAAAATGTGCATTTGATTTGAATTGACTAAATACTGTCTGTAGGTTGATTGAAGAGGTGGTACCTACATTCAAATGCTATAGATTATTCGAGACAAGACAATTTCAAAGAATTATATTTTACATTATTCATGTTGGAAACGAGAGCAACAAATTCGTTCCCGTAAAGTCCAGAGAAGAGTAAAAATTCGATATTATTTCAATATACATATCTATATTACTTTTTTCAAACATCATTCAAGTGAAAGTGTCACTGAAAAACGATTCAATTTTCCTTTTAGACTTTCTGATAGAAACATTTTTAAACACAGTGACGTTTTGGGGCAAATCATCTGATTTGTCCTTCTACATGTATATTCAAATAATACTCATAACTTTATTTTATAGAAACGACGAGATAAAATCCCAAATAATCTAACAGAATGATTGAATTCACTATATTTTCGAGCCAGAAAAAAAAAGTTAATCCTGTTAACGCTCTTGCAGAAAATGCTTGATATGATTTCATGAAAAATCGACGCTTTTTTATGTTGGCGTCTGAAAAACTGATAATATTGATGGTTATTCGTACCGGTCCGAATTCGGTAGGAATCCCATGACTGATTTGACAAAGAAGTCACAAAGCAAACAGCCATAAACGTGTATTATATTTATTATCGATCTTACAGATTATATTTTTGCCCAATTACCCCCATTACCCCTCCTCATATCGACGCCCTTGTTCAGTACTTTACAATGAGTTCATACCTCTACTATTGAGCATTCTACTCAGATGAAAATCATTACGAATTCTCGTTTGAAAATCATGTATTTCTGTACTAAAAATAACAAACTGATTTAGATCATCTGGCAATAATCCCTTTGATAGATTGAAAATAAAAATCAATGCAAAAAAAAGTAGTTACTTTGCTGTAGATGTAGCTCCAAATCTTCTCCATATCGTTCCAGTCCGTGACGATGCCATGCTCCATGGGGTACTTGATAGAGAGCAGGCCGCGATGTTCTTCCGCTTTAGGGCCAATGAAAACGTCGCCTTCTAGAGCGCCGGCCATCACGCGAGTATGTTTGGGCCTTCCGACGCTAGAATCGAGAATATACCACATCACTATATCTATAATGAATGACGGTTGACCTTGTCCTAGTGAAGTATGGGTAACTCTAGCTGGGGACAGAATAAATCTTCTAATCCACATTGAAAACAGTAAATGCAGGGGCCAAAAATTTACATGAATTAACGATTGCAAGGGTATTTACACCAGGACAACTAGCTACCTCAACTTAGAAGACCATATCATGTTGTCCCCTATTGAATATGTTATTCTGTTCAGCATTTGCAGAAAAACAGGTGAAATTGCTTAAGGAGTCCTAACGAAATTGTGTACATGAAATAACGCCTTACACAACATTTCTAGTACATCCATTTCAAATCCACTATAAATATCACTCTCATTAACACAATCGGTTGACCACAAAAATTTTATTAACAAATCATGTTTGTAAATGTTATAATTAAATATTCTCAGTGTTTCCAACTTTTCATTGACAATTCATTTCTGTTATTTTTTGTCACATTATCATAACAACAACAATATAAGTCATGAAGTACTTTCGAAATCAAACAATAACTAAGAAATATTTCTTGAACATTTCTTTCTTCCCCCTAACGAAGCTTCTTCACTGTACTCTCATTTCCTCTGGGGTTTCTTTCCTCACATCCATCTTACAAATTTTCGTCACAGCTCTTCTGCATGTATCAGTCGATGTTTCTGTCTTTTCCAGGAAAAACTCTTATGATCTTACCCATTGGACATGTATTTTTTGGGAAAGTGTTGTTGGCGATCATGACAATATTGTCTTTTTTTATCAGGTCTGCCTTTTCAAACCATTTTTTACTTCTATTCAGTTCAGGTAAGTAGACTTTCAGCCATTTCTTCCTAAAGTCTGCTTTCTTGAATATTTTTTCTCAATCTAGTCACCTGGTAAGGTGCCACAGGAAATGCCAATCAGAAAATGATTTGGCGCTAAGCTTTCCAGAGCTTCTGGTTCAACAGGAACATTGTAAGTGGTCTTGAATTCAGCTATAGCAAAAATACAAAATCTGCATTTTTTCGATAATCTACAATATACAGCATCAGGATGTCAAGATTAGTTGATACATAGTGTTTCTGAAATTGGAGCAATAAATAAAATGAGGTGTTCAACTTGCATATCACTAATTTATGCAAAAAATTATCATCAGGTTGTTTTGCTGTAAGAGTGGTATCATCAAAATGCTTCTGCAGCAAGAGCAGTCTATTTTGCTCTGATTGACTCACTATGGAGATATGGAGTTTGTTTTTGGGAAAATAGTTCCCAAGTTTTACTGAACTCTGTGTTCATCTAAAAAAGAGGGCGGTGAGATACATTGACAATGCTAAACCCAGAGAACCTTGTCAACCCTTACTTATGGCACAAAAAATGCTGACATTGTCTTGCATCTTCATTCTAGAGTGTATGTATGATCCAAAAAAAAATATAGTGCTAACATTCATTCAATGTTGGTATACAACACAAGGAATGATATCCTCATGGTTTCCCTACCAATTCCCAGAAGTATATTGATACATAAATCAATGGGGAAGACCACTGAGGGAAGAAATCCGTGCAAACCTCTTTCAATCGACGGATCATGATTTACATTTTATGTATAATCAATATTATGAGTTGAAGTTGAAGGGAATCGAATCTATATCGTTCTGTTCAAACAGCCAAATATGATGGTGGAGTCGTGACGTATTAGTCCCGAACTGTAGCTATCTCTCTCTGATACCTCGTCATTCTGCAGTGTTGCAGTGTAATTGGTCAGTTCAAGGACAATAGGCGTGTTGGGACTAAGACGTCGCACCAATCACACCAATGAATTGATGAAATTTCAAATGGCGCAGGAATTGTGTGTTTTGAAATGGACATATACTAATTTATTTTTTTCATCGTCTTAGCATGAATGAAAAAATTCAAAATTAATTCACTGGTAGTTTATCAGTATACAGTTCACGATAATGTCATTTCAAAAAATCTGTGGTCTTCCCCATTATTTACAGTGCAAAAAAAAAAAAATTCAATCACCTGCCCTCATATATTTGATCATTGTTAATTTTGCTGACTTTGCCAGGAGCTAGCAAAGCCACAGGTTTCTTTTAAAAAATATGCAACAAAAAATTCCAAAATGGGAGTTATTGAGCATACAATCGAAACTAACACTTTGTCTTAAAAAATTGTCATAAAATATGCTTTTGATAGATATGCATGATGTATAGTGAATGTTCAAGTAAATCTTCATTATTGGCTTGGGTAAAATTGTATAGAACCATTTATTTAAGTATGAATATTTTTTCACCTCACTCCAATTATCGGGCATGTTAATTGGTGTCATCTACCTATGCCCAGCAGGACAAAATTTCTGTCTCATTCGGATTTGCTACCATGCTCCTTATCATGTGCTTATCAGTATAACTGCTTACAAGTGTATCCTACCCCGGGGATTTTCAATAAGAGCAATTTGCTAGAAAACCACCTGCTTCAGCTTCATATTTCTGCCTTACATCATATCCTAACCGGGAACACCGCAGCCAGCCGGCTATTACATCATACCTGCATACACCCCTTGGAATCATCAGGTGAGTGAAGTTGCTTTCTCCTAAAATATCTAATTTTATATGGTCTATGCGATTTGAACCTGCCTAAGAAAATACAGTCCACTCAAATATCGAACAGTGAACGCATGCATATTTGGATGAATTATTTTGTTATTTTTGCTTGAAACATTGAGCAAAACATTCGAATATGGGTAAGTAATTAACATAAAATTAGCCTTTCAATATAAATATATCAAATCAGTGAAAAATATAGCAAGCCAGCAAAGCCATACGTTTATTCAAAAAATATGTAGCAAAAAATCCAAAATGGGATAGTTATCCAGCTTACAATCAATACTAACACACTTTGCCTCATGACATCATCATAAAACAAAATATGCTTTTGATAGAAATACATAATGTACAGTTGATAACATGTATTCGAAAATAGGGTAATTAATTAGCCTATTAATCCCAATATATCAAATCAGTGAAAAATCAATGTTTTCAAAAATGGCTCTGCTGGGTTTGGCCAAAGCTAGCAAAGCCACAGATTTTTCTATTATAGAGAGGAGCAAGAAAATTGGGAATGGGGTAATAGATTAGCCTAAAATGAGCCTAAAATTATGAGTTGTCTCTCATGTTGAAATTCGAAAGTGGCTTTTTTAGCATCTTTGATATTATCCAACTGTGTGCAGAAAAAGGTAGGTCTTTTCAAAATAAGAAAGTTAGTGCTAACTTTTAGTACATCTAGTATAAGAGAGGGTTAGAAAACACAAAATCATCTTGACAACGTTCAATAATCAAAAGATTCCTAGCAATCCACAGGACTTTATCAAGACTCCTTCATCCATAGAACGGCTAGGCTCTGGAATTCATTGCCTGTGGAAGTATTCTCAACAACATACAATCTCCAAAAATTCAAAAAAAAATCCAATACCTACCTCCTGTCCCTATCCTCCCTAGGAACACACGATGTTCTTTGAACATTATAGGGATTCCCTTTCGTGCGCTCCAATCGATAAAAAAAAAAAAAAAAAAAAAAATCCACAAAACGCAAGTTCTGTGATGACAAGAATTTGCACAATAATTTTAATCAAAGTTTTTTCATAATGTTTTTTTCATTCCCATGTAAGTGAATTCTCTATTTCATATATTTTTCATGATTAACTTGTATAGGACCTTTGGTTTGTAAGGATTAAGGCTGATGATAGACACATGACTGTCCAAAACATGTTCCCCAAAATAATCTTTTTATTAAACGTTGTGATGATTTTGTGTTTTCTCACCCTCTCATCACTACACTCCACTTGGAGAAAAGTATGTACTTCTTCATAAGATAAACATCCAGTATAGTTGGGAGGACAAATAATATTCCAGGTAGATTGGAAATGATCATTTATATAACAGCATACCAAATTTCAAGATCTGATGTTTTGCCTATGTAAACATGTATACAGCTTGTGTAGTATCCTCAGAACAAAAAGTTTATGGAAGAAAATGTCATCCGCCCATATTTTGAAAATATTGTTTATTTTTGATTTTCTAAAATGGGGGCATGGTAGATTTTTGACAACAAAAAATATTGTGACATATACAGCTTTATGTAGTACCCTCAGAGGAGAAAGTTTATGAAAAAACTCTCATCCATGAATATTTTGAGTTTTTTTTATTTTTGAAAAAGAAACAATTGAGGGTGACTTTTTGCCCAACAAAATATTGTGACATATACAGCCTCAAAGAATACCTCTAGGAGCATACATTAATGATAAAACTTTTATTCACAGACAAACTTTGGAGGTTTCAGTAATTTGATGACCAGCCAAATGCCTTTGCAGAACATGCTTACATAGTGTGTCATTCAACTCATATGTGGCCAATCTTCAAGGAATTCTGACAAAAACTTTCTTCAATGAATGATTTTTTGTAAATGTCCTGGCGATTCTCTACCTGAGTTTTGCTGAAATTTGCCAGTATTATATGTGGTATTGACAAGCTAATTCAGACATGATCAGATTATAGACAAAATATTGAATTTTGTGTTTCATCAAAAAATTTTGAACAATTAAATATACCATTTAATTATTTTTCTATCTCAAAACTTATGATTCCTTACAATCAACTAAGGAGCTGAATGAACTAGTATGTGAAATTATTTTGAATTTGTATACATACTGTGAAATAGCTGTGAGAATGTTCTGTGATTTTTTACTACTGTAATGCAATCTCTCTCATATAGGATACAGGACTACAAGAGTAATAGGTTTAGAATAAAATCTTCTCTAGACTAGATAATAACACTGTGTCGCTTTATCTGTAGAAAACAATTGAGGAAAGGGTATTCAAGTCAAATTTCAACTGAAAACTCGCCACAGGACTATCCAAAAGATTCCTACATAAATCCACCACCTCCACCCATGAGTTCCTAGAGTCAGTAGCTAATTTTAATGAATAATTACTAAACATAATAATACCGTTATTGATCAAAGTAAAAAACTTGGGATAGCTTACTAATTTGGAAATCTGCATTTTGGAATTTGGCCACCTGCAAACCCTGCTTTGATGACTCCAGTTCCCTGCAAGAAACAACATTATTTGGGCTCCAGAAGAGATGTTCAATGTACCAACATTATCTATAACGACAGGCTGATTAACGATAACATCATATGCTTCCATAATTATTACTGAATACTAAACTACACAAACTATAAAACCTGTAGTAAAAATGTGAAGACTGAAAAATTAAAAACTTAACATATCAACATAAGAAGGACATAAGAGACAATGACGTTTCGCGATGTCCTTGACAATGACAGGACAGAGACAATAGACAAATGACAGTAGTCTAGACTAGAGGTGTGGTTAAAAAAACGAGACTCACGCCAGTAACGGTCAACAAATTTGATAACTGGCACTGCTGATGTCGCATGGCTGCTGCCGGACACATAATATTTCGGTTTCTAAAAGTTGAATGGTCACTTCATTACGAAATTTTGATGACGTTCTAAATTGACGAGAGCCTAAAGTTTTCGAACCGTTCCCAAATTCCATTGTCAGATTGGTCACAGTGGATCACGTGATACAATATGGACGCATGCGCATTCACTCGTAGAACAACATAGAATTATTAATGAGAGAGGAAGGAAAACATTCATGAAAGCCTAAATCACCACAATTTCATTGCGAAAAATAAAAAAATAAAAAAAATACGAATCTCAACATCACGTGATGGGAATGGTTTGAAAGATTTAGGCACTTATATGAACTCAGCACACACTACACGGTGTCCCACCTATAAATCTGTCACCCCCCTTTATCCTCGTCATTCTCAACATATTATTTTGGCCATTCAAGAACGCTTCTGGATTATTTTTTCACAAAAGTTTTGAATATGTGCTCAATTTTGCTAAAGGAAAAAAAAGTTTACTCAAATTAAATAATCTCAATCTCATTCGATAATAATGTATGAATGATATATATTTTGAATTCAAATTGACGAACTTCATCGATTTATAGAAATAAATATGGATCATTTCATTTGGAAAAATAAATTTTTTTGAGCCACCCTGTAATTTGTTGATATAAAGAGAAAGTAAGCACAGGGTAAAAAATTCATAAAAAATATTCCAGAAAATTTTTTTAATGACCAAAATATGTTGAGAGGTACGAGGATAACCCGCGGTGACAAGCAAAATTTGATTGAATGACGCAAATACAAGTGTTATATATGCACGACAAAATATAATCTTGAAATGAGAAAATTGATATCTTGTTCCAGAGCGAATTTGAAGTTTGAATTAAGCAAATATGCGTCTTGCATGAACTCTGGATCTTATTCTGGATCAAGCACATCTATGAATTGTTCATGAAGAGATATTGAATTGGCTTTTTGTTTGATTCAGAAATAACAAGATATTGATTCAATCATATATTTAGTTGATTCAATGAAAATTTTGTTAATTCAAAGTAGATTCTAGCATAGATCTCCAGTCTTTACTTCTCTTCAGCTTATGCAAAACTATTTCGGAATTTCGGAATGTACGAAGGCGCGGATGGGACGCCTATACTTTTTTTTCAAATCCCGACTTCGAAGTCGGACCCCCGACTTTAATCTCGGTATCCCGACTTTAAAGTCGGACTCCCGACTTAAATCTCGGGATCCCGACTTTGAACTCGGGATCCCGACTTTCAAGTCGGACCCCCGACTTCATTCTCGGGATCCCGACATTAATCTCGGGATCCCGACTTTAATCACGGAATCCCGACTTTAAAGTCGGAGGTCCGACTTTATTCTCGGGATCCTGAATTAAAAGTCGGATCCCCCACTTTATTCTCGGGATACTGACTCGAAGTTGGCACGGCAACTTTTTGATTTCAACACCGAATTGTTAAACAGATATACCAAATTGTAGTTCTAATTTGGTGCTATAATTTGTTCCCTCATCTTCATTACTACATTATTCAGAAAAAAATGATTTCATGACAGCTTCACGAGAAGTTGGCACGGCATTTTTTTCATTTCAACACCGAATTGGGAAACAAATATACCAAATTGTAATACTAATTTGTTGCTTATTTGTGCCAACTTTTGATTTTTTTCATTTCTCTTCATCACAGAAAAAAGTTGTTTCATCCAGCTGTCGTTGACGGATCGTGGTGTACCTATCTGGTTTAATATTTCTGTTGTTCGTTTTTTTTTAAGAAAGGATGAAAGAAGATACCATGCTAGACTAATTTTACGAATCTGCAGACATGAAAAACCGAGAACGATCATGCCAGAATTTTTTGCTTCCTTGTTTTTGATTTATTTCCCTTTTAGAATTTTCGTTGCTCTTTTTTTTCAGAAATGATGATGAAATACTGCCATGCTAGATCAATTTCGCGTGAACTCTGTTATCTGATATAAAAATCCCAAAATGATCTCCCCATAATCTGTTGCTTTGAGAATTCTCGTTGCTCGTTTTCTTTAAAATGATGATGAAATTAGTTTCCTTGCTAGATCCATTTCACGATAACTCCATATTATCTGACATGAAAACCCAAAAACGATCATGCCAGAATTTGTTGCTTTGGAGTTGTCAATTTTTTCCCCTGTAAGATTTTTCGTTGCTCATTTGTTTCTGAAAATCATGATGAGACGAGCTGTTATGCTAGATCCATCTCACGATAAGTCCGTTATCTGACTGCACTAAATTCCGGTACAATAATTTTTGGATTTTGTTGACGTGGTCGTGCCGGCGTAACGTACGTTAGAATCTCATTGTTGGATAGATACAAAAAAATTGAGAGAATCGGAGTTGTTCATAGTCATATAGATTTTTTTTAGGTATGATGTCTATATGCCTTTGACATACAAAACATACAGTCGGCCTCCGACTTTAATCTCGGGATCCCGACATTAAAGTCGAAGACACTAGGTTTGTTACCTAACCGTGAAAGGTGCACTAACTGCGCAGTCAATGTCTGTCATGGTTTACATGTTGATCCTGATCCTATACATCACTATACTTATTCATAACTCTATAATATTTCTTTTTAAATTTTTACTTATTTCACAGCGGTTTCAGAGGGTTTTGAAATTTGAATACTTATTGATAGGACTTCATGGATAAGTCCGGAACGGGTGTTCTCAGAGCCATGCTATCATATTACATTGAGTCCGTCTTTCTCAGCTCTATCTAAGGATGAAATTAAATACAGGGCGATCCATTCGGAAATTCCGAGAAAATGATCGGTCATCACTTTTGGTTAATCAGAATTTTCTTAATGTTGACAAAATATCAATATAACATAAATAATTTTCAAATTCATGATGATAACTGCGCATCGAGAACTTTATTCCCAACGTTTTCACAAGGCTTTGAAATTTGGCTATTTATTGAAGAAGATTATGGAAAAAGTCCGAAACGGGTGATCTCATACCCATGTTATCATATATCATTGAACTCATCTTTCTGACCTCTACCCAAGGACGGAATGAAATTCAGGGTATACCATTTGTGAAAATATATGTTTTGTATGTCAAAGTCATATAGACATGATACCAAAAAAAAATTCTATATGACTCTGAACAACTCCGATCCTCTCAATTTTTCGTATCCATTCAACAATAAGATTTTTAGCTATTGAGTAAAATATCACCCTGTACGTACGATAACGATCGTACAGGGATGATCCATTATTTGAAATTCAGTGTACACCCAAAAAGGAGGTTTTGATTGATCCTGTGATGATTATCCAATGGATGTAAAATTATTGTATGTACATATATATAGGTAGGTACTTATAAAAAGTAGGTAACCTAACGTTCGGATGTATGTACATCCACAAAAGTTCTGTAATGAAGGTTCCATCATACTCTCTATTTTCATTTCGCGATTCGCATTTGTTTGTTCAAAGGGTGCAAAGAGATTGTACAGATGTAGGTAGGAATCGAAATATGAAGAGATATCTTGTACAGGTGAGACCCCCCGAGTTTAAAGTCGGTATCCCGAGAATAAAGTCAGAGGTCCGACTTAAAGTCGGGATCCCGAGACCAAAGTTGACTTTGAAGTCGGGATCTCGAGATTGAAGTCTGGAACCCGAGATTGAAGTCGGAATTCCAGGTTCAAAGTAGGTGGTCCGACTTTGAAGTCGGGATTCGAAAAAAAAAAGTTCAGGTGGCCCTTCTGCGCCTTCGTAGGATTGCTTATCAGCCTAAGTTCGATTTATCCAGCTGATATTCCAAACACGAAGAATCAGACTTCACGTGTATATAATGAATTTGAGGCAGGCATCGACGAGGCGAAATGATCACCATCTAGAGTTGAAAATTTAACTTGATGTAGAATGAATAAAATATTTCATTGATATTACATATTCCCAGGTAGCACATCATATTGGCTGGAACCCGATTTCATATTGGGCCGATATAGATATATCGTACATGTGAAAAATGATATATGTCCAATATGAGAGTATATTGGACAAACAATATTGGAATGATAATATTGGTTGAATATTGGTTCAATCTGAGCTGAAAATGGATTGTCAGCTACAATATTGAAGCAATATAGGTTGTAATATTCGTTAACAATGTGTTGAAAAACATATCTATGAATGTTATATAATATTGTTTTACGAATGTCGATACAACAACATTGTATACATATTGTTCCCGACATTTACAACCAATATTGCAATTTGAACATTCTCCCCATGTCGATTCTGAAGTGGTTATGCAATATTGTATATTCAAGTTGAACGGCATATCGGTTGGATATTGTTTTAACAATATTTGAAACATTATATTCACCTATCTTGATTGATATCATTTTATCTATATCATGCGGAAGATATCGTATACAATTTTCTTCTTACATTTATAACCAATATCGCGATTTGAATATTGTCCCCATGTTGATTCTGAAGCGGTTGTGCAATATTGTTTATTCGAGTTCGACGGCATATTGTTTGAATATTGTTTCAACAATATTCGAAATATCATATTGTCACGAGTAGAACATACGGTATATCAGTAATTTCTAACCATGAGGGTTTTATAAACATAAAGTAAATCAAATCATCCGTTGACATTGAATTATAAAAACTGACCAAGGAACTCTCATGAGAAACGTGCATTTCTAATAAAATGGTGTATATAAATATTGGATCTGAGGGTTCCGAAGTTAGTCTGGTCTGGGGCTACTCTTGACTTGACCAATGACGGCTAAATGGACTGTCTGACGGGTTATACATGACTGTTCATTCAGCGAAAATCGCCAAATCGCCCTGTAATGAAATTTTGAAGGGACGGCAAGTGGCGTCATCTATTTCCTGTGTCAAATGAGCTATTCAACATAACCTGCATTCATGATCCTGCATTATTTGTTGACAAATTTTCTCACTGTCAGCCTGTCACTCATTGTCACTCGAGATTGGAGAGCTTCGTTCGAGATACGATACCGAGTAAAACTGTGAAAAGGCCAACAAAATGAAGTGATTAGGAGTGTTCATGCCAAATAACGCTATTATATGCATAAATAATAATGCCATCCAAGTGGAAATCATCTTCGTCAATTCGTGAATA